TGTTTCTACAATAGGCTGGGAGTTTATGAAGTGAACATGCTGAAGCCTACTCACATTTACTTCTAAGTCTCATTTGAAATCATCAGTTTAGTCTACCTGTAAAGTTATCTAAACAGATAATCCTCACCAAATCTTGAAGTAATGAACATCATTTAAGGATTCATGGAGTCTGTCCTGGTTCACTTTCAGTGGATATAATGAGAGAGTAAAAGTAAAAAGCAAACGAACTATTCCACGCACCAGTGGGATTGAGTTATCTGTTTCATATGTGGTTCACAGATGTTAAGCATAATGTGTGAATTAATTCAATCAACTTTTGTTGTCTATAAAATGGTAGTAATGCCTATTGCAGAGTAGGAAATGAGAGAAGTTTTCGTCCTCCACTTTTATGAAAAGTGAATGGGTAAATCCAAGCTAAAGCTTCTACAAACCAACATTTCTCTTAGTACCAGTTCATGCTAGATCCTAATTTCTATAATACTTCCTGGAGTGTGTTTAATATATACGAAGTCCCTAACTAACATCTTACAGTTACAAACCTATGGCTACAATTTACAAGAGAAATCTTAATTAAACCAGCTTTATAGATGAAAAGAACTGATTCTGAAAATGAGTACTGTAGTTCGTCCAAAGTGGCAGTGGTGGTGGGTCATTCAAAACTCATCCATACCCAAGTCCAAGACTGATCCAGTTGGAAACACCCAGTGTTGTCTGTCTTCAGAAGAGTGAGCCCAGCGCTCCTCTTTCTTCACACTGGGCAAAATCAACTTCAAAGTATGATGAATGACCATGCTTCAAAGACCTCCGCAAACTGAGATAACTGGAGAAGAAATCCAGAGAAGCAGCCTGGCACTGAACAAAAGCTTAATTCTCAGAATGTGCCAGGGCTGGACCATTCCATTCCCAAACAGAGAGGAAATCAAAATCATGGTGAAGTGAAAGTGTTATTGGATTGGTGGGTGGCAAGGATCCATTCGTTGCTCTAGAATTATCATCAGTGGAAACTGTAACTCGAGCTGCTGCTGGGGCTCAGTGTGCCTAAGGAAGGCTTGAAGATCTTGCATCCCTTGAGAGAGGTGATATTTGCACAATGTACAATTTTGCAATCCTTTCTGAGCATGTAATATGTGATTTCTCATATTTGATCATCAAACTACCTGTTTGGCCTATATCATCTTGGCTTGCATGATGCCAACAGCCCTAATCTAATTAAATGAGATTAATTTGTGAGAGGGCTACACAATGCATAGTCAAGCCAGCCTAGAAGCCTTGTATTTGCTCTGTGGGTTATTTCTAATTCTGCAGCACTCCATCCATACGCCAAAGCGCCTTGCTGTTTTTGTAGTTAGACGTTTTCTGGGAATGCTATGAAGGTGGGTGAAACTCTCCAGTTTTTTAAATCTAAAAACTATGACTTCTGCTGCTCCAGGTGTGGAATGGTATTAAATGCTCTGAGGCTGAAAAACTATCCATATTTGCCTAGCTGAATTCCATACTCATGAGGAGGAATGTGCTAGGTGGTGGCGGCGATGGTGGTAGCAGCTTTAAGCTCTTGGATCATTAGATTTTCTAACTTGAAAAAGTCCTTAATGCTCTTCAACTCTCCCATCACATGCACATTGCGCATGATTTGGTGAAACTGGATTTTTTAAAGCTTGTAACTGATAGTGGGAGAATCCAGAGCAAAGAGCCATACATTTAGAAAGTAAACATACTTTGCCAGTAAAGAAAAGCAGAACCAACCTTTCTTCCTTCTGTTTCTTCCATTCTTTATTTGTTGGATCTCTATCCTCTCTTTCTTCAAGGCAGCTTTCATGAGGATCTCCCTTCATTTTATCCCCACAACAACAAGCCTTTGTCTTAAAGGATTGGGCTGAGAGAAAGCAGCTTGTCGGAAGTCATCCAGGGAGTTTCTGTGGCTGAGGGTGGATTTGAATCATGGCCTCCCAGGTCCTATCTCAACATCTTACTGCTACAATCCTAGCACTGGTCAAGCAGAATGAGGCATCCCACCTTTTGCATGTTGTCTTTACAAGGAAGCAGTACAAAAGCCTTCCAGCAATTTGTCTTGGACTTCCCATCAGCTCCATTCTGCTGTCTGGGAGGGCAAGAACAGCCTTCACCAACATCATCTGAGCTGGTGGGAAATCTTGACCTTGGTCTCAGGCAGCAACATCTTTTGGCACCATCCTGAGAAAAAGGCAGAGAAAGGAAAGGTGAAAGACCTTCCAATGTAGCCATGTTAGATAGAAAGATGGGTTGTGGTTTCTTGCAGGTGCCATCAGGTATGGAACATTTTTAATGGCTACCAGGGCAATGGTCATAACTTCTCCCCTGAGAATTTCACTTAGGTTGGGTCCCCACCACATCCTAAACCAGAGATGCTGAATCATGGCTTGCTGTCTAAAACAGAATGGAAACATGGTTTATGAACCATAATGAAGTGATTGGCTTGGGTTCATATAGCAAGGGACAACAGCCCATCTACATTTTGGTCTGAGTTGTAAAAATCTAATCATAGAAGGAATATTTTTGCCTGAGTTTTACATAAGCTGTAACACACTGAGAGTTGAGCTGATATGCGCACACCACTTCCTTTTAGTTAGCACACCACTTGTCTTTGCTACACTGAGCTTCCACATTCCATGGTTTTGGTGGTCCAAGGCAGCTATCTGCTGTCACCATCACAGCAGATGTTTTTCTAACATCTGGGCTCCCAGTAGCTGTGGCAAAACTCAAAATATGGCCTTAATCCTGGACTGTCCCCTGTGAAGGGACTGGAAAACTTTTGAAGTCAGTGGTCAGCATCTTCTGCATCCAGGGTAGTTAAATGCCCTTCCAGAATGGTGGGAAGGGCATTTAAAGTGTAAGTAATCTAGGGAAAGTGATTTTGAACAAGTATCTCTTCATCTATCAAATGCTGAAAACCTAGAATAAGCTTTCAGATTAATTGTCTGTGAGTATTTCTCTCTTTTGGACCTTTCCTATTCCCTTTTTTCCAATAAGGTCCCAATGTTCATT